AAAAAACGGTAACCTGGTTGCCGAGTTCACGAAGTGAATTGGCTTGTTTTACAACGTCTTTGCCAAGCGACGAAAACCCAATCCCGATGGCAAACACCGGGGAGTGGGAGCGGGAAAAAAACGACACTTCTACGGAAAGCCCTTGACGAGATGTTTCGTTTGTCATTATTGGTGTGAGAACAAGATTGATTGTGGCGCAAATCGAGGTCTGAAAGTCGGTTTAGGGGGGGTGCCATCTGTCCGCCTTTTATGGTAGCAAACGCCATCCGGAAGTCCGGATGTGTGTGTGCCCCAAGACTTGAAAAGAAGCCGAAAGAAAGGGGGTTGCGTGTTTTTTTCGGAGTTTTTTTCAGCGCTCAGGGATATTTCGTTTTTGTTTTGCCACTTGTACTTTGGTTTTCAAGTATTTTTTGTGTGTGTGTGTGCCTCAAGGCTTGAAAAGTAGCGGAAACGGCGGTAGTTGTGTGCTTTTTTATCGGATACTTTTTTATGCGCTGCCTGGATTGTTCGTTTTTCGTTCCGCAGGGGGGCACAGCCGTGCCGTGGACACAACAGGAGGACTTGGAGCTAAGGAATGCGGTGCAGGTAAACCCNCCCCCCCCCCCGCCCTCGTTTGCAAAGCGACCCCACATTGTCTGTTACGTGACATCCACGGTTCCGCTTTTTGTTGCTGACCTCTGTTCTGCAACATGATGTGCAATCCTGCTTCTCTCATCGGCCGCTATCTATGGAGGGCACTGCGTTTAGCGTCTTGTCTACCATGACGTACGTTGTCGCGAACGGGGGAGGGGGTATCGAATACCGCGGACACGAACCTTCAGTTTTTAAGACTACAAGTTCGAGGCGAAGACTACGCGACACAAAACACAGGGTCGTGGGGTTAGATTCGACCCAGCTTATCATTTTTTATTTATTTTTTGCGTGTGATGGATGCACACTGGCTGTCCGCGACTTGAACCCTCTCGGTTGCAACAATATCAACGAAGTTTCCTTCATGGGTGCTTCTGAAGCGGCTCTGTATGCTCCGTGTCTTGTGTTTTATTACTCAAAAGGGTTCGTTCGCTCCAGTAAAGTCTGTACACGGATTTGACATTTTTTTCCTTTTAGGTTCGTTCAAAAAAAAAGAAAAATTTCGCTGGGCTGTTCGAGTCACAACACTTCAGTTTGCTGTGTGAGCTGTCAAGCTTGGGAAGCATTACGCCGCAGGTGGCAGCCAGCTGTGGGTTGGTCCTGCCTGCCTCCTTCTATTTTGTATCTTGTCATCGCACCCGTCGATGATACACTGCCGTACTCTCATGAGCCCACTCACTCCAGAGGGGTTCGTTGTACATGTATTAACGACAATTCTCACTGAATTTCCCCACCGTCCTGCCCACCGTTTTGAAACCGTCGCCCCTCCCTCTCAGAATCATGGCAAGAAGTGGGCCCACATCGCTCGAGAAGTGATGCCGAAGCGGGGGCGAGAGTCCTTGCGCAACCGCTGGAGCGTCCTTGAGGTACAGTAGAGAGGCATGTTTTTGTTCGTTTTCGTCCTGTTTAACTATGGCGAGAGTCCCCCCATTTTTCGTGGTGAGACGTGTGCTACACTCTTTCAGCGTCTGTAGAGTGCTACACTTTTCAGTTTACTTTTTCGTACAACTACAACCATCCAGGGCCACACAGGAGGGGGTAAACACCAGGGCTTTGACAACGTCAAATTTTACGTGTATGCGCCTGGTCGATAGTATACCTTGCAGAAGATTTCGGGACTTCCCAATGCACAAGGAAATACAGTGGGGGCCCTCTATTGTGCGGATATGTGGCAAGCGATTTCACCCGCACTATAGCGGGCACTCGCACTATATACCCCGCACCATGGAGGGCCCCCCACTGTAGGTGAGAGGCACGACGGCGTGCGTGTGCAATCGTGGTCGATAACTCATGAAGAAAGCTTTCGGGAAATACGGCGGCGGCAGGGTTAGCCCGCCTTTGCATGTGTTGTCATTATACCCAAATGAGGTTCCCTCGATTTTGCGCAATCGCTTGGGGCGTTCTCGAGGCACAGTGGGTGGGTCCCTCGAGGCATGAGTCGGCGGTGGGGAACCTGATACTGACCGCCTTACGTCGTGCAGCCGCCTTAGTTCAATGTGTAGAACACCTTGAGTATTCCGTCTATGCCAGCCAAATTCACCCGCCTTTTATTGGGCGGCCGCCTTCGTTCAATGTGTAGAACACCTTGAGTATTCCGTCTATGCCAGCCAAATTCACCCGCCTTTTATTGGGCGGCCGCCTTCGTTCAATGTGTAGAACACTTTGAGTATTCCGTCTACGCCAGCGACCCTCACCCGCCTTGGGCGACCGCCTTATTCAGACCGTCCTTCTTCGGGGACACCCACTGCTGCAGGGGGCATGACGACGCAACTTCGTGCACACGCGGTGGTCGAAAAACGTACAGAAGATTTGTGCGGTGGTCGAAAAACGTTCAGAAGATTTCGGAAACTGCGCAATACGGCAGGCGGCGGGTATGGCAGACGCCATCCCCTAAAACGATCTCCGAGATCTACTGAATTATTTGCGAAGAGCATGCGCCGTTCACCGTCGAGGACCCTGTGCACCCGGTGGACCATTGGCCCGAGTGTAGACGTTCAGCAACCTCGGTCTCCAATTTTTGTTCAGCTTCTGATGAGCGTGGTGTCACGTTTCCTATCTGTGGCTCGCATCTTGTTAAGAAGCCGCGTTAACATGCTCGTAAAGCCTCGTCCTCTTCGAAAAGAGGTCGACCTAAAAACCCGTGATGAGAACGTTGCGTTCTCCGACAGATCCGTACCGTCCCTCGATCCATCTGTCCCGGGTGCCAGGATCGCCGAGCATGCTACCCGCGGTACACGCCACCAGCAACACCTTTCACGCTCCTCTCCCTTCATCATTGCCCCGCGTCTAGGAGAGACTAGCAGTCCGGACGTCATCAAAGGGCCCACCAAACACGGGAGTCCGCACGTCTGACGCTGGTGGCAGCCCTGCCACGACGTCGAGCTTGATGCCAACGGCTGACTGTCGGGCCCGAGAGCGACGTGAGGACGGGAAGCATGCCGGCTCCTCGCAGGTACGATCTTGAAAGAGTGAAAAAAGGGGGTGCTGCTGCTGCGTAGTGATGGCAAGCCTTCGGGAACGCCACCTCACGAAGAGAGAGAGCTTATCACGAAAAAGACCGGGGAGGGGGCACGCAGACCCTATCCTTCGCCCTAACTCTAGCCCTAACCCTAACTGTCAACTCTAACTTGACCGATGCTACGCTTCTATCCAGTAGTCTTATGTGTGCTTACTTTGAAAAACCTGCGTTGACCACTGAAGCTCGGAGGGATATCAATACTGCTGCTTGTTTGCCTCGATTTTCTCGTTGGGGTCCATGTTGTGCTGCTTGCTGTGAGGGTTGGTCCCTGCCAATCGCACAACTCGTCAACGGCTATATACTGCTGTACGGCTTCGTCGCAGGGATCGGTCAGACCAGCCTGTTCGCCCCGTTTCGTATTCGAATGCATGTGGACAGATCAACAGGCTTGGACGTGGTAGACGATAGTGCTTGCTTAGAAGTGTTTTCACGACATGACATGTGGTTGATCTTATTCTCCAAGAATCGTGAACTTGACTTGGTCACTGGAAAGGCATCAAAGGGTGCTTACTGACATGGCCGAGTAAACCGCACAGGTTACATATCTTTCGCTTATTGCCGGCATGACCAATTTAATTGCACAGGTTTCATATCGTTCGCTTATTGCCAGCATGACCGATTTAACAGCACAGGTTACATATCTTTCTCGAAATCCTGGCGTGACCGATTTGATAGCACAGGTTACATATCTTTCACTTATTGCTGGCATATCCGATTCATCAGCACAGGTTACGTATCTTTCTCCAATTTCTGGCATGACCGATTTCTTTACAGCACAGGTCACGTATCCTTTGCTCATTACTGATACGACGGGTTAAACTGCACAGGTTACCTATCTTTCGTTCGAGCGACTGCCTGCCTCTCCATTGTTAATTTTGGCTTATGGCCGATTCAGCAGCACAAGTTACCCATGTTTCGTAATGCTGGCATGACAACAGCGCAGGTTACGACCCACCTTCGCTGTCTGCTGGCATGACCGATTTACCAGCACAGGCTTCACGTACATATCGTTCGCTAAGATTGGCATGGCCGATTTCACGCATGTTTTGTTCGGACGACGGCCTCCCTCTCCCTTTGTTGTATGTAGTACACCCACCTTCCTCCGCAGGCGCAACGAACCGGAGCGCAGCAGGGGGCCGGCGGCGCCAACACTCCGTTCGGGGTGCACCCTCTGTACGTGATGCGGGCGCTCTCGTTGTGGCCTCCGTACGCCGCCGCGGGGAATCCCGGCCAGGTCGCCGCTCTCTCGGGACAGTTTGCCGCCGCCGCTGCCACCGCTGCCGCTGCTGCTGCTGCTGTGGGAGCCGCCCCGAAGGCTCCGGTAACCTTTTCTTCGGTGGCTGCTGGGAACCGGAAGCCCGACAATCCGGCGTTTGGAGGTTTTGCTGGGGTGTTGGGTCAACCCGCAGCGGAGAATACCGCAAGGTTGCCCGCGGCGGCGGCGGCTGCTGCTGCTGGACGAGGGCAAGCTGAGCGTGCCGCCACCGCCGCCGCCGCGCGACCCCGCGGGCAGCAAGCGCGAAAACGACGAATGCTTGGCTCGTCGCACCCGGACGGCCAGTGGGCAAGTGGTGCATATCAGGCGGAGGCCGTGCCTCCTGGCGACGAAGACGAAGACGAGGCGGTAAGTTTATTCTTTATTTTTTTTGGGGGGGGAGGGGGGTACTGATAGTCGTGCATGCCGTAGTCGTTAGACCACTGACCTCGCATCCCTACAAAACCGGGACGGAGCACGCCGGTTTCTCACCGGACCAGGCTCTCACATCACCAAGCGCGAAACGCCGTGAGTTATTCGGCGAGCCGCAAGAAGGGTGCGCTGCATCCTGCTAAATATCTTCAGGGGGCGGGCGCTTTCCGAAGCGAGTTCGAAGGCGAATAATATGGGAAGGTATATTGTTCCAAATATTTCTGGGGCTTTCTCACTTCCCAATTTTTTCGATGACTTCCAAATGAGTGGAAGTAGGACAGTGAACCATGTGAAAAAACTCCCCTTACTCAACTGAAGTTTCACTGCTGCGTTTTCCACACAGCGTTTTTGTTCTAAAGTATTGGAAACGTTTCCAAATTACGGAACTTTCCGAAAAGCCGAGTTCGGGTGCAAAATACTAGGAAACTTTCCACAAAATTTGGAAGTTACTGTCCCAAGTTTTCTTGGCCCTACAAGTACCCACTTCCACATAAAAAAAAAAATGCATTTCCTTCCAAGCTGAACTTTGGAAGTAGAAAATTTGGAATGATCAGCCATGTTCAAGACGTTCCTTATTCAACTGCAGTTACATGGTGCGGTGTGTTCGCTTTTAGTTTCATCCTGCTGCTGTGGTTTACTTTTTGCTTCGTGGTGCTGCGGGGTGAACCGTCGAGCTTTGCCCACGATCCAAACGCTTGACGATAACGCTTTGCAGAGACATCGAGGCTCATCGGTCGCCAGCGGCTCTTCGGCAAATCGCGTCGGCAGCTTGCCGGCACGCGGAGGGACCGCCACGGGCGCAGCACCTGGGGTACCAGACCGGTACGATACTCTGGACTTGAGGAGGAGTACAGCCTTCGCAGGATGTTTCGAATATGTAAACGTGTTGGATGAAGCATGCAATCGGGGGAGTTGGGTCAGGGGTAGTGCCTGCGTACCCCCTCCCCGTCCTGTTTCCTCGTGAACTTGTGGTGTTTATTTTCTGAAAGCCTGTACCATCTTTGTCTGCCGAAGAAGAAGCCATCCGAACGGGCCTTCTTGCCCAAGACGTGACTTGTTGACGTTTACCCCTCACTTCGTGCCCCTCATCCGAGGGGGTCGCGACCCCTTGGAAGAGTTCAGTTCCACGTGGTCCTTTGTGGATGAGTCAATACCGCGAATACAAACCGGAAAACTCCTGCCTCATCTGGAACTTCGTGAACGTTCGAGAACCGGGTATTAAGTGGTACTTCTACTTGATTTCAGCACTGCCTTCGGCGGGCCGAGTTTCGTCGAAGAGTATTTGTGCATTCACCCCAAGGCGCTGCTGTAATTCGACAACGACCCAGCCGTCACCACCTCTACCAACGTCTCGACAGCTCTACATTTTTCGAAAAGCACAGCAGTTTCACGTAGTACGGACTCAGGAATGATCTTGCCGTCGTCGGCGATGCCCCAGCACGGTAAACCAGATACCCAAGTGTGGTTCGCACCCGCAGTACCGTAGACCTCTAGTTTTGCGGAGGCTTCGGTGTTCTCTGTTCCTGTAGGAAAATGTCGCGAAATGCCACTACAGTCGTGGCTCCGAGATATAAGAGGGTGCCTTATAAGGGGGGGCTCCGATATGTAGAGGGTCGAGGGTTTTTGTTACAACACCCTCTTATACCGGAGCCACGACTTTATCTAGGTTTTGGTGTCGGGATTCTTACCCTTGCTCATACACGCTGATCAAGTTCTTGGATTTTGAGTTTGTCGAGGCTGTATCAATTTCTTCATTAACTGCCAAGCTCTCGAGGGCGAGCGCCAACCGTACCGGGTGCCCGTGGCGACGTCAGTCACGATGACACGATCTGACGAGGGGTTTACGGGCCCAGTACAGCGTGCGGAGGATTTTTTCTTTCTTTCTGGGTTCATATATATATATATATATATATATTTTTCGTCCTTACAAACGTGTTGGGCAAATAGTGGGCTTGTGGCCACGTAAGGAAGGCGTCCGCGTCAGTTGGACCAGTATGGGTATTGGAAGGTACCGAGCGCGGAGACCGGAACGGTTTTTAATGTGAAGACAACAACAGCAACAACAAGTGCGTGCTCGTTTGTTCGATTGAACCGGGAGTTGGCATGTGGGGAAAGCTCTTCTGACGCGCGCAGGACATTATTAGTCCATCGGTCGTTGTTCGTGATGCCACAAGACTTCTCTCTATGTTTTTTATGTTTGCCACACAGGGCCGCGTATGCGGAAGACGAGCTAAGCGACGATCCAGATGGGAGCAATAGTAGCGATGTCGAAGTGGCAAACCAAGGGGCAGCGGCCTCGGGATGTGTGCAAGCCGCCAACGATAGACACGAGGAGGAGAGCGGTGCGGCCGCTGGTAGCGTTGCTTCGCGAATCACACGCGAAGCTGCCCGATACGAGGAAGATGAGCTGAGCGACGATGACGAGGATGAGTCCGACTCGCTCTGATGGTCTTGAGAGGGCGGAACGAAGGCACTTAAGTTACTACATGTGACAGCTGTGGGTTACATCTTTTCGGCAACCATGTTTTGTTTGCCCAAGTTTAGCTGCAGTGGCCCATTCGCTCTGAAGAACTTGATGGTGGGACAGAGAGGGAGGGAAACATGCAGTCAGATGCCAGATGTACCTGGCAGCAGGTGTGTATATGTATCTTGAAGTCAACCATGTGTTCATTTGCCAAGTGTAGCTGCGATGGGTTTCTTTGGAGACAAGCAACTCTACCAGGGTTCTTGAGTATTGTTCTCCTGCTGGCGCATGGCTTACACTGCAGGGCTCAGCGTACGCCCACTGCAGGAGCGCGGATGTCGCATCCCTGGACTGCTTAGAAACAACGCCGTGCGTTTCGCTAGCACCAACATTTCAGAGTTTATCCTGGTGGACCGTTAGGATCGGTTCCGAGACCTTTGCTCACCATATCGTGTACGATACCCCCATGTATTTTCTGTAGCTACGGGTAATTCCAATACCGCGAACCAGCTTCTGCTTTGAGGGACTCAATTTACGCGAGTTTTGTAGATAAAAGAGTGTGTTTTCGTTCTACCTTTCGCTGCTTCTGCGTGATCGACCAGACACAGAGAGGCAGGAAAGGAACGGCATCATAACGTTACTGAATCTTCTTGACTTTTGGAAAAAATGGCACCTTGCACTAGAGTTAAGCAACAAGGTGGTCACGGAAATGAACCCAACTACAAGCTGGTCGAAAATCGGTGCTAAAGAGGTCGGTCGGAGTACCAACGCTCCAACTGCTTGAAGGTAGAGTAGCAGCTCAAAGTCCTGTGAAACAGATCGGACCAAGCAACACCGAGATGGCACCGTCTTGCACACGGCGAGAAAAAAGAGTAGATGGATCCCGGCAAGGACGGGGTGGACCCCCCTGATTGTTGTCCGTTTCATTCTACTCCTAATTTACTCGTATCATAGTTTTTGGTCAAACTCGACGTTCGACTTTCTTTTGTCGTGTTGTCGTGGGAAAAGACAGAGAGACACAGAGACAGAGACAGCGAGAGAGAGAACAAGTGCTGCTGCCAGGGTTGTGTAAGTGTACCACGCTCTGCGTTGACGGAACGGGACAGAGTCTTACGGAGTACCGGTCCGTTTGCGCACCAGGACGGGATAATGCACCCGTAACTGGCTTGAGGGGAGGCAGACCGTACAGCCGGCTACTTAGCCACTAACACCTAGGTCAACGTGGAAAGCCAGACGCCACGAAGTTTCCACAGCACTTCGTTGTGTATTGGACCTGGTGCAGCAAATTGTCGATTTCAGGCTTTCAGGGGTTGGGGAAGGAAAGGTTTTGTAGCTCAATCCCAAACCAGCACACCGGGTGTGTATCAATCGGCGTCGAGCTAAACCTGTAAGGCGATGGGCGCAGCCATGCCGCCGCCGCGCGCTTGAAACGGGTATACCTCTTGCTCTGCTTTGAATTGCCAAGACGCTTGGCAATGGAGGGGGGCACCAAAGAAGACGGGTGGGGGGAGGCAACGAAGAGGGCGATCTCAACTCTAGACACAGAGTAGTAAGCCGAAATTTTCGCCGCTTCTCATCCATTTCGGAGGATATTTCGGAGGGACAGCTCGTCATCACAAGAGAATAATACCAGCATGGATAGTGCTCACCGTGAAGGAATGAAGCAACAGCAGAACTGAAAACCGCACCAACCCCAACCAACCATCACGCTAGTCCTATCAAACAAACCCTTCTTCAAGCGGACACAACACAAGCCTGAAACAAAGGGAAGTACCACAAAGGGTGGAGAGATGGTACCCCCCCTCCAGACCGACTGTCAAAGCTCGATTGCTCCACAACCAAGACTGTCTGTCTGTATCGTACCGTATACCGTACCGTGGTATTCCGTAAGATGGCACTACCTCCCAGATAGACCGACTGTCAAAGCTCGATTGCTCCACAACCAAGATTGTCTGTCTGTATCGTACCGTATACCGTACCGTGGTATTCCGTAAGATGGCACTACCTCCCAGATAGACCGACTGTCAAAGCTCGATTGCTCCACAACCAAGATTGTCTGTCTGTATCGTACCGTATACCGTACCGTGGTATTCCGTAAGATGGCACCACCTCCCAGATAGACCGACTGTCAAAGCTCGACTGTCCCACAACCAAATGGGTGCGGAAAGAACCCGACGCGTCCACGGAAAGCCCTCAACGAGAATTTCCCGAACCACCGATTTTCGTGTTGGCACAATCGCTCGGTTGCGGAGTGATCGAGTTTTTTATAATCGGTCTAGGGGGGGTGCCATCTCTCCGCCTCGTACGCTAGCAAGCGACGGCAACGCATGCCCCCCCCCGGTTGGCACGAGACTGTCTCACAAAGGCCCACAACAGCTTGTGTGGAGTGGGACGAAAGACTTGCGTTCACCGCGACAAGGTTCCACCCACAAATCTCCTGCTACTGTTTGAGTCTCGAGACATGCTTCGGTTACGCCGTGGCGTCTAAGTCGCCTATTTTAGGGTTCAAACTAGCACAGCATCAGACAGCCTTACATGCATGCATCCATCTTGCGACGTGCCGCAAGAAGATGTGTTGAGATCATTAAAGCTGGAAGAGTCTGTGGCACCAGCAGAACACTTATAGAGTACCGAGGCAAGTAGGCTATACAGTATCATCCACTCGCAAAAACCTCTCGCTGCTATTATAAATCAACGATCTGACTATGACACTTTGCACTACGCGGTGTGCTATGCCTAGCAAACTTCTCCTACAGGGACCATGTCGCCGTCTCTACAAATGGTCGGGCCGGAACACGTAGAGAGTACAGGGGCAGAGGAGTAAAATACAAAACTCTCTGGCTGCCAGATGAACGACCTACAATGACACCCTGCGCCCCACCGTGTGCTAGCAAACCTTTCCCACAGACACCGCATCGAAGTCTCTGCACATTCCAAAACTTCCGCGCGCATGTTTAGCAAGAAAAGCAATTCATACATCATATGCAGGATGGGCGCTTAGACAATAAGCACACGGCCGTCCATCGATAGGCTCGGTCTTTGCCAAAGCAGCAGTGCGGGCCCGCGGACACCAAACAGCATGCACGTCGATGTTCGCCCTTGCGTTTCTGAAAACAGAAGAGTATTGGGGTGTTTTTAACCCCGATGGGTGAGGGGTGCGAATTTTCCGAGAATTTTCGCTGGCCTTCGGGGAAACACCCAAGAGGGCACTTGCTGGAGCCGGAGGCTTCGTGCTGGGGGTTCTCCCCTACGTGCACTGGTGTGCTTTATAAGCCACCCAATGCAGCTATATAGCGCCCGCACTTACGAAGTTCGCAGTCAAGAAAGAAACTCCACGCTCTCAACATTTCATCAACCTGAGCACCGTTTGGTGCGCCCGGTCAAGAACCACTACGCTACAACATGGTAGATATCTAGCGGCCATTTGTAGCCAGCCCTCAAGAGGAAACGAATAAAGAACCGATTTACCACTGATGACGGTTCTTACTGTTTATACAATCTGAGCACCATTTGGTGAGAGCCTGATGCTCAAGATCCCGGGGAAGAACTTCACGACAACCTGTCATAGCAACCTCTTGAATAGCCCGCAGGAGGAACAAATAAGACCCCCGGCCTCGGTTCAACGCAAACGGTTCTTGCGTGCGGGCGCAACTTAACTATAGATAATACCGTTGAACTTTGCTGTAGATGTTTACTTCTGCTGGTGGTCGTTCTCTTCCGTCGTTTCTGCCAGGAAAAAGTCTTACCTACAGGTCGCCGAGAGACCATTCGCCCTCGCCGCCGCGTTCGGGTCTGCGATTTCTTAATCGCCCCCCCTCTCCCCCCCCCCCCCCC